AGTAAAGTGGCATTATGTGGGGCTATTCCTTGAAACACAGACTTCTGAGAAACAATGGGAAGCTTGGAAAGGGCAATGACTGTGGCAGCATAGTCAAGCAGAAAGGAAAACATTTGTGATAAGGGAATGTTTATGCTGTCGGTGCCAGCTCCTTGACTCACATGAGGTTTTCTGCAACTGTTCCTGAGTACAACGGCATTATATCCAGTAATATCAATTTTCTGGAGTAAACTAAAGTAACAATTTTAATTGTCACTACAGGTGTTGGAGGGCAACTGGACCAAATAACGGGACAAAACCAATCAATAAATCTTCTAACTTACTACTAAACAGGTATGTACCAGCACAGTTGGACAACGACAAGTTCCTGAATTTATAATAACCAATCTATTCTCTTTGCACCAAATGCATAACAACCTTGTTTTAAAAAGTAAGTTATATCCTTCCTGTGCTATACTCTGCAAAATTCCTCCACAGAAATCTGTTATGTATTACTTCTGTTTATATAAAGCATAATGTCTTCTTTTTAGGCATATTAAATAGGTATGACTAAGGCAAATGTATATTATGATTTTTAATAAACAGAGAAGTCAGATAGCCTCTTCTATCCTGACAAAGCTTGAGAAACCTCTCAGTAAATCTGCGATCAAGTAATTACAAGATTAGTCCAAGAATTTGAAAAGTTCTGCCGTTTACATTGACCATTTGATGGCTGAAGTTAGCAAACCTTTCATGACACATGGGTGCGTAGGGTGGGCAAATTAAAGGGATTATCCCACAGGTTCTCTAACCATGGAAAATGATTTTCTTATTACCACCTGTGACTCGTGTCTGACAAGTTGGGAGTGAAACAGATTTCATCTGCAATCCCAGAAAAAAAAACCCAGTATCTTAAAGCACAACATAGATATTCTCTATCTTATCATTGTTTGTGACCCATGTGTAGCTCAGTCCTTGTAAGCAGCTAGCAATAGAAAATTAATGTTAATAAACTATTAAAATTATCAGCAGTTATGACCCTTGGTTAGAAGGAGATAAAACTGAAAATCTATCCTGTCGTGAAAGGCAGGACGATTTTATGGCTGTTTCAGGACAGAAAAGAGCTCTTGAACTCACATGTGAAACCTTGATTGCTATTATGCTCACCAGAACAGATAATCTTTTTGTAAACTGATGCAGGAATCAGAGGAAATCATGCAGAAATTAAATTAAAAAGTTAGAGTTCTACTGTGGATCTAGTCCCTTCTTAAAGGAAGCCTGCTACACCCATACATGGGCATCAACAGAGACACTTCCACAGAGACTTATCCTATCTTTGTATGTCCAATAGGCCTGGTTTCTCTTCTCATAACTGCTTCTTCTTCCTCTGCTTTATTTTCCCATCTACGCAATTGAAACCTTCACTCTTCTTCTTGGTCTTCTGTTTATCCCAGTGTTGAATCAGACATGCCCAGTTCCTTCCTTCATTAAAATCTCTTTGTAGGTCTAGTCTTGACCTGGATCTCTGCTCTGTGTAGATGCATTTCTCTTTCAATCTCTGTTTTCATCACCAGTCAAGGCAAGCTATGTGCTGATTCAATTTCCTCTTGCACTCAAATTACAAACTAATCTAAAACCTAACACCTAGATTACAGGGCTGAGTTGAGTGATTTTTTTAATTTTATTTTTTTAGTTTAACGGAACATGTAGATGCACAGTCAGCACATTGAATAGTGTTAACATACAAGCTTGAAGGAATTTTCCAAGGAAAAAGAGACTGAGAAGTATGAAAGCATCAATGGAGAAGTTCAGTTTCTGACCTTCAGTAGTGTTGGTGCCAGCCAACAGCACTATACCCAAGGTGACAAGAGTATTATCTTTATAAGACCTTTTCTGGATTTTGGCCTCACTTTACATCCAAAGAGCTCAGACTGGACTCAAGAAAGTAACAGAGTGCACCAGGGTCTTGATCTCAGAATCTGATTCAGTTCTGTCTGGAGTGCTGGCTGTCACACAGCAACTACTTGAAGAATGCCATTTCTTTGTGTCTCTTCTGATTTATTACTGGGTGGTTCAAGGTTTGTGGATTCCTTCAAGCTTCATGAACAAGGCAGCAGGCATTTCCCTGCCTCACCAGGGCTGTGGCTGTAGTTTTGTGATCATCTAACCCATGGAAATCATCAATGTCTGAACACCCATGCTGTTGCCTACCTTCCCATGCATTTCTAATCATTCTGACATCCAACCACCATCACGGCAATGTCAGGCAGCAACCCGTCCTTCTGTGGCAGTAGGTGCTGCTGGAACCACAGCTGGTGAGTACCTTTATGGTTCTCCATCAGTGCTCGGATGGAACAATCCCACATTTCTTTTACTCCAAGCCCACAAGCATGTGCAGCATCCAAAACAGGCATCCCTGCTGCTCTGAATCCTGGCCTAGATGAAATGGGAACTAGTCTCTCAAAGCTTTCAGAGTTTATCCTGAGAATGTCTCACAGACTGCTGTTTCCACATTCTTGCTCATCCTCACAGACTTTCCTGTTTCTCTTTCTGACTTTTTATTTTTCAAGAGTTTGTATTTTTTTAGTTCTATTAGCTCTCTTTCACATTTTTTTCCGCCTAACACTGTTCTTATTGTCTTAGTAGGAGAGATCCCTCTCAGAGGGAACCATCCTCTGATCCACAGCAGAAGGCTGAATGATGGCAGGAGCGATGCTAGTTCAACCCTGCTGTAATATTATTTTTGTGTTACTGCTCACAAAACCTAACATGTTGCCTATTGTGTTTGAGCAGGGATGACTCCGACTGAACTCTAGAACTGTAGCTGAAAAATAAATGGAACTATCATTTTTCTGTTTAATTTTTGGTCAAGAAACTGCTTTGTAATGTCTCTACAAGAGATGTGACTCAAAGCCTTCCTCTTTTTAGTGAGCTATCATATACTAATGACAGGGTTTGGGGTTAGCATTCATTCCTGTGGTTCAGGCATAATTTTCAAGGCTCACTGGCTTTTTTATTTCTTTTTTTAACAGCAGGAACTCTTAAGACACTTTTCATATATGTCTGCAGCTTGTTTTATTTATAATATTTAAACAGTGATTAATCTCCTCTGAAGTCTTGAAGATCCAATAACATGTTAGAGTGAAATCCCCTGTTAACTGTGCTGAACACTCTTGTTATTCTGGAACATTTAGTTTAATTATTAAACATTAAACAAGTTCAGGGAAAATTCATGTGTAAGGAAAAAAATCCTTTGCTCAGGTACACATTTCTTTCCTTGATCAGTGTCACTGTCCACTTGTTTAGTAGCAAAACACAGTAACAGATGGCAGTTGTAGGGTACAGGGAATCACTGCCAACCTGGGCTTTAAGGCTGATCAGATAGTGGTAAGAGGTAGTCCTCATTAGATCTGTGGGTCAGTTCTGCTGTCCCAGCACAATGATGGTCTCTGACAGCTCAGCAGCTTCTCCAGTGGTTCTCTCTGCATGATGAAAACAGCATTAGACCTTGCATGTTTGAGATTGCTATCGCAGAGAAGCGAAAAGAAAGGCTTGTTCCTTCCTGTGTGTGGGCTGAGAAAACCCTCAGTAGCTCTTGGTCAAACAGCAACACCAAAAACTGTTTTTTTCACTCTGCTTATGTGATGCTACGCAACACATATGCTGCATGAAATGGCACATTTCGGGGTGAAGTCACAAGAAGAAGAGATTATAAGGTAAAAAATCAGACATTTTATTGCTATAAATAATGAAAAATATTGTAATCTATTTCTAACAGATATGAAATGTTGGCATTAAACTGTGATTACACTGTTTAGAATGACTAAAACTTGTACATTCCCAAAGCCACTTTGAAACATTAACAATATACACTGGAAAATGAATTGGTTTGCAAAACCTTTGATATAGCAAAGTTTCTGGGAAATTTCTTGTGCTTGTCTTGGCAATAATCGACAGGTATACAATTTTAAACACTTAAATGCTTTTAAGGCCATGAATTTTAAAAGGACGTAAACAGAAATATTTATATTGATTTTGTCTTTCTAACAATACTTTGCCTGATGCTTCTTAAATAAGAGGTTTCTTTGAAAATGTTTTGCAGTTGCAGTCTATCATTTTACAGATAAGGGCAAAGAATTAAGAATCGGGGATTAAAACAAGCTTACTGATTTCAAACTTCAAAGGAATCAGAGAGAGAAGACCCTGCTTTTCAAGAGATAATTTTTCAGCTCTCACTTTGTTCTTTCAAAATCCTTTTTAAGGTAAGGATAAATTTCATTAGAAAAGTATGTATCTACGCCACATGTTACCTCTGTATACTTGTGCAGAAATTTTTATGCAATTTCGTGTTTTAAGTCTAAATTAGAATGCGGCTGTATGTGGCCATGTTAAACAAAAAATGCCAAAGGAATGGTATCTTTCAGAAGATCATTCCCAAATTAATTTTTAGCTTTTCTTCCCTGTTCATAGTAGAGTAGCGTAGGTGAAATTCTGTAGCAAAATTACTTGCAGATGAAGAAAAAAAGAGATTGAATTTTCATCTCCAGAACTTTGTTTTCAATTTGCCCCCCATATCTAGAAACAAACTGTTGCTACCTTATGAGTATTCTGTACCCGTCCAGTGAGATGCTAAAATGGTGGATCAGGTGAACCTACGTGATAGATACAATATGTCAGAATTCCAGCATTTTCCCACCGTCAATTTTAGCTTTATAACATGAGTGCTGATAAAACTTGCACAATCTAAAAACAGAGAGTGTCTTTATTATTTCAAATAGCTGAATCCAGAGGCAAATAATTGAATAAATTATAGTATAGTAATTATAGTATAGTAAATTAAAATCTCATTCATAATTACGTAAAACATGGGTTTAACACTAAGACGCATGAGTTACTGCTGTCATATGAAGTATAGGGTTGTATACTACATGGGATGATGTAATTTTAGGTACAATTCAGGACAGCGTCTCTTGATGAATCCACGACATTCCAGTTCACAATAAAGGAAATAACAAAGAAAATGTGTCACTCCTATTTTTCCTTCTCAGTAGCTTCCAAAGCAGGAGCTTACAAGGATGCTTAACAGCTGCATAACCCAACAGAACCATTCCTCCAATGACATGCTGCTGGACTTCTCAGAGAAGCTCCATGCTGTTCTGATAGTCCTGTACCTCATCAACCTGGCTGGTGGCACCCTTGGGGTCATTATAATGTCCCAGCAGTTGTTTCAAAGGAGATCACAATCTGTGATGACCATTATCATCATCAGCCTCCTCGTGCTGCACACCTTCATGCTCCTCACCATCCCCTTCCGCCTCAGCTACTACATTTTGGGCGAGTGGAAATTCGGGAGGTTCGCGTGCAGGCTCGCCAGTGCCTTCATCTACCTTCACATGTACGCCACCTTCTCCTTCTATGTGGCCATCATCGTTGCCCGCCTCCTGCGCCTGGAATTCCGCCGGTGCTACACGGCCACCTGGGTGGGCTCTGTCTGGCTGCTGGGAGCCCTGGTCATCACTCCTGTCCTTCTCTCCTACTACGGCACCTCCAAGTCCTACAACTCCTCCAAGTGCTTCCAGTTCCACAGGGAGATCCAAGAGGCTCACATGGTGATCGCAAACTACTGCCTGGTTGGGATTTTGGTGTCAGTGTGTGCTGTGCTCACCGTAATCCAGCTGACTGTGATCTACAGAGTAGCTGTCAAACACTGGCCTGACGTTAGCTGTCAGCTGGAATTCAGGGCGCAGGCAAAGAGTTTCTTCTTCATCCTGGTGACATTGGTCTGCTTTATGCCTCATCATGTATTCAGAGTATATTATATCCAAAACTACCTTGATGAAGATCATAAACTGCTCCTGTATAACGAGGTTTTTTTAGCTTTAACAACAATGTGCTGCTTGGATATGCTGTGCTTTATAGCAGGAATTGCCCACTGAACTGTGACCTTCCACGAAATCCAGCTGCAGTGCATCAATGCTGGCTTTTGACAGAATTGAAACTGTGTTGGGGTTTTCCTGAGCTAGGAAGACTGGTGAGTTTTGGCATGTGTCTACAGGTCTACAGCATTGCTTGGCTTTTGCAGACCAGTAAGGTTTCTCTTTCACAAGCTAATGATTTTTGTTTTCTCTCTAGAAGGCAGACACACACATGAGTCTTACTTCTGTCTTGACCTAAGAGTCATGCCTTGAACTTTCATTAAGATTTTCCTGAGGGTCCTTCTCTAGCAATTACAGCACAAACATATGTTCCTTTATCACTTTTTTCCTCAGTGTCTCAGTAGCCACAACCCACTGTGGCCAATAAGTTGTCTGCTCAGAAGATCTAACAACGTCTTCTGGAAATTGTGATATCGAAGGGGAGAGATGGAAGAACGAAATTCCTTTACTATGATATTTGTATTGGTGATTTTATAGAACAAGGACATAAACTCTATTCAAATGAGAAATACTCAGAGAATCACAGAATGGGTCAGATTGGAAGGGACCACAGAGTATCGTCTGGTCCAACCTCCCTTTGTATAATTTACACAAAGTATATATTAAATTAAATTGTATGAAAACTAATCATTATCACAACTTCACCTTTACTTTTGTCATTCCAAATCCACAAGCAGCTCACTGAATTGTGATAATTATATATTTAGATTGAATGAGAGCAGAACAGACCACAGGATTCAGAACTTCTGCTTTATGTCACTCTTCTATCAGGACTGAATCTGTGGTTGTTATCTCTTAGGCCCATTGTAGCCAGAAAAATTTCTGTGGTTCCATAACTGGATCTGGAATTGAGGGGAAGGATCAGGCAGTCTCCAGGACAGGGAAATATTTTACCCGCCTTCAAAAACCTTTGATGTTTGGTCACTTTCAGTTGTCTGTTGATTTATTATCAGATGCCATATTTTTTCCATTTACGCATGTAACAAAACAGAGCTAGAATAAACTTACTGAACAGTGTTTAATCAGTTCAACATATGTTCTTGTATGTGTATACAAACTCGTGCTGAAATATATCTTTTCTCCATTAGATAGATTATATTCTTTGAGAATCACATCCGTTCTGGGAATCTCTGTTTTATCTTCATGATTTAAAAGTTCTTTTTAATGATTCATTCTTCCTGTTCTGCTCTGTGCAGAAGGTCTCTAACCCTTCTGCTGAAGGCCCCATTGTCATTTGCTGTATCCCAGCAGCTTGAGGCCAGATTTCTCTCCATCCCAGACTCCTAGGAGTCACACAAGGTTACACTTCCTCCTTCACAGTCCTGTAAGTTTCCATCATTCTTAGTCTGACAATCCTTGCTACAGAAAGTGCTAAAATCCCTGGATTCAAACAGATTAAAGCTTGATTTGGGAGGATGATAAGTACACTTCAAAAGTAATGTTACTGATACAACAGATTGATGGCATTTCTTTGAATGGAAGAACATGTACCTACTCTGTCAATCCTGAATAAATATTTTTGCCTTGACATTTCTGTAAAAAAAAAACTTTGTTGAAAAGTCCTGGTGGTTTCAGGATCTGTTCTGCCTCTTTTAAAAGGTGTGAGGTGCCCAGGGTCTAGCAGCAAGCCCCAAAATCTGAAAATCCTGGTCTTATGGCTTACTCTAGAGTTATCAGATGCACTCCTGTTCAAACAATAGATTGATCAGCCCACAATTTTCAAAGGCAGCAGGTAGACCTAGTTCAGTATTGCAGAGATGAAGTGCAAAGGGCCAGATTTGAAAGTTGGAACTACCAAAGCCTTTTGAAAAACTGACAAAGCTGCAGGTGGTGAAGCAAGTACACTGATTTTCTCTTACTATACTCCTGAAGCTAAACAAAATATCTGTTCCTTGAAGAAGTTTCCTGTATCACTGCCTATTCTCACTGACCTGGTAAAGATCAGAATCATTTTACGTCGCCTGTGGGTCTGCTGATCAGTCCACCATAACGGTGTGCAAGTCTGGGGGAGAAAAAGGGAAATTACCTGCATGTCCTCAGCCGTGACAATGAATCATGCCTTGATGGCCTTGCCTTTGCTATTGCCTGACCTTTTTCACCTGTGGCTGGCTGTGTACTTTGCTGAAATAACCCTGACTTACTGACTTGACTTCCTGGTGCGATGATGCAGCTGTGTGGTCCATCACAGCTGTGTGGTAGCCACACCGTGTGGTTAGTTTGATGCTGGCTGTCCCTGGGTCTGCTGTGCTTGCCTTGGCACTGCACAAATCATCAGCTCTGGCTGTGATAGAATCAACTTGCACAGCATCAAGGCTTTCTCTCTTCCCCACTCTGCCCCATAGTGGGTAGGCTGTGGGGAGACAAGACAACGACAGAGCAGTTGTGTAAGTCCCACTATGGTCCTTCTAATTCAGAGGATAACGGATTAAGCATTGATCTCAGTGTTGTTACATCTAAGTCTCACATTAAAGTGACAGAAATGAGCTCTATTCAATACCCAGTCCCCTACTGAGATCTTTAGAACTACTTTAAAAACTGGTTGGAATAAAAAATGATCACTCTTCAGAAAGATGGTCTGAAAAATAAATTCTGAAAGGACAATAATATTGAGCTCAGATTGTAGGGTATTATTCTTATTGTGTAATGATGTAATTACATGTAATGATGTCCCCATGAAAACAGTTAAAAATGTTGATTTGAATGCCATTTGCAGGACCCAAGTAATTCTGGAGATAGTTATAGACATTAATAATTACTTTCGCATCAAAGGGTCATGTAAAATTGTAAGCCATTTAGTCATCCCATTTATTTTTAATGTTATCCAATGAACACTGGGAAAATCCTCAGACGTTCTGGAGCAGAGAATATCCAGCTGCAAAGTGTATGTTCCATTATTGTTCTGTGCATGAAATTCTGCTTAAACAGAGCAGGCAAGCAGACCAAAGCCAAAATCCCTTTTGCATCCCTGACTTCCTACATTAGTTTGATGCAAAGCCATAGGTGGTTCTTACCATCACGAATGAGTGTGGTCACTGCTGTCACAGCCACACTGCCACCACTGGTGGCCTGACCCTACCTAGGTCTAGCAAATCCTTCTCAACAGTGCCGAGGGTGATGCACAAGGGACATGTCTGGGTTTAATTCACATCTTGCTTCTGATTCATCTGTTCCTTGTGCCTGCTCACCGAGAAAAGTCCTACTGGTGATGCTGTCAGATGGACATGCCGCTCCCTGCAAACAAGCAGAAGGAATAGATGCCTTAGGAGGAAACAAAGACACACTCCCATTCCTTTTTTTTTTTCCTTTTTCACTCAAGCAATGACACCCTTAACACTAACAGATACTGTCACAAGTATCTCTATTTCTTTCTTCTGTGTCAAACCTAAATGTAAAAATTCACTACAGTCCTTGCCTTTTATCACACACCCTCTGGTCTGGGGCTTTGACCGCCACTGTGAGCCACAGAACAGCTATCTGGCATACAGAGCAGAACTACCTGTGGGTAAAATTATGAAAGAAAGTGAAAATCGCTTTATCCATAAGCACATGGATAAAAACATTGCAGAAAAGCTACAGGAGGGCAGCATTTTTTGTAATGATTGTTGCACAGAGAATAAATACCAGACAAAAAAAAACCCAGAGAAATCATGAAAAAAAAAAAAAAAAAAAAAAAAAAAAAAACAAAAAAAAAAACCTACAATTTCTTCACGTCCTTACTACACTACTTCCAGCTGTCAATGAGGAGCCACATTCTAAATCCATGGTAGGTCAAGACCACATGTTGTCACACAAAGGGTGTCACTTAAATTGTACAGAAACATCTTGTTCATCAAACCAACAATTTTGTGATCAGACTGGCAATCAGAGGATGAGAGACATAGCTCCGGAAGGGGATGCTGATGTTGTACATGATGAAAGAATTGCATCTGCTGACTCTCTTGGGACTGAGATGGCATCCCTGCCTGCAGGAGCTCTTCTGCTTCAAGGAGATGTGCATAATCATTTATGCAAAACCACGCAGGAGCACTGAGGTACATGTAGAAACACACAAGCAAACTTCAACTCAGCAGAAGAAGGGAAAGCTGGGCTCCAGATGAAGCAATTTTCTTTCTGACAAGGAAAGATGTGATGGGGATTCTCAGTGCCTTAGTGCTAGCAACAGCTGTCTGCTTTTATGTCCTGGCAGGCAAGGAGGGAGATGATGGATGTGTCAGAGGAAAGAAGGCTGCAGGAGATAGACTGGAAGACATTTTCTTCCATGATGATTCTTTCATTCATGATTTCTCTCAAATACTTGGGAAAGCTGATTTTTGTTTTCCAAGACATAGTGCTGTTGCATAAAACATGGTGTAAGTTCTAAAACTCCATAGAAATAAATTGCATTAATCTATTGAGCAACAAAATAAAAAACCCACTATGAAAAGTTAGAACCTTTCTATGAGATTAAAAAATAGCATAAAATACATGCTGCTTTATTTTCATACTCTGCTTGGCAGAAGTATCAAACCCAATGATACTTCTTACAGCAGTACACAGCTATACTTTATTCAAAGATGTGATAAAAAATCCTTCAGCCATACATTTTAATAAATCCGCTTCCTGTACCAATTCTTCCTCTTTCATTTTCATATCCTCTGCCTGTGGAAACCCTCTCTAAAATGTTGCAATATGGAAACCAGAAGGTAAAAGAGATTCCCACTGGAAAAAAGCTGGAAGAAAAGGGGAATTTTCACAAGCTCCATATTTTGTTTTTCCCTTGGCATTATCATTCCAGCCCCTTTTCCGAAACGTAACCTAAGCAGGTGACTGGTTGTGTGTCCAGGAGGGAGCAAATGAAGAAACAAATTTGGAAATAGTCTTTTCTGCAATGAGGAACACCAAGATGACTCATTGACCCATCTACTGTTCCTGCTGTGGATCTCACTGTCCTTTGACTCTGCTTTGAAAGCACAAAATGTCAGTGCACAGGCTGGCAGTGCCTGTCCCATAAACAAGGCTGTGCAACATCAGTCACCAGGCACTTTCCTGCTTTAGCTCTTCTGCTACCATCTACAGTTACCCTGAAAACATTCCTATCTGTAAAAGGGAAGTTTTCCTAGTTACTGATAATCTTTTCCCCTAGCCCTTAGAATTCCTCAAAGGATAAATATATTTTCAGACAAATGCCATGTGAAAACTGCCAGTCTTTTTTATCTCTAATTTCCCCCTTCCCTTGACATTTTACCCTCTAACTCCCTGACAAGAGTAACATCAGCAAAAGTTACTATTGGATTAGTTAAAACTTTTAAAAATTTTAGGCTGATGAACAAAATATCTCTGTGCAACCTGTGTTCCACCTTTTGTGTTATAAGAGATGATCACATCTGTGTGTGGTTTAGCCCCAGCTGGCAAGTAAGTACACCACACAGCTACTAACTCACCTTCTTCCCCTGCCCTCCCTCATGGGATGGGGAGGTGAATTAGAAATAAAAAAGACAAAACTTGTCGGTTTAATAATTAAAATACAGTAAAATGTAATAGTAGTATTAATAATACTAGTTATGATAATAAAAATAATAATTGTGATGGAAAAGAGGGAAAGAGAGAAAGAGAGAAAGAGAGAGGGAGGGAGGGAGAGAGAGGGAAATAAAACCAAAAAAATAAGCGATGCGCAATGCAACCGCTCACCACCTACTGACCAGTGCCCAGCCTCTCCCCCAGGAGCAATCAGAGGGCTTCCAGACAACTCTCCCAAGTTTATGGATGTACTGGGAATAGTAGTCTGTGCTGTGGAATGTCCCTTTGGCCACTCAGGTCAGCTGCTCTGGCTGTGCTCCCTCACAGCCTCTTGTGCACCCGGCAGA